ATCACACCAGAAGGACTTGTCGGATTACAGAAGTTTTGGTTTCTCACCATTGTTATTTTTATTGCTTCCACAGTAAATCTCCACAGACGCTCCATGACTGTTGAAGGTACTTTCAACAACTGCCTGCATTTCGATCAGTTATATTTAGTCCAAAAGGACAAGTTTTAGCTGTGGAGTAATACACTGATCAAGCAACGATTATAGAAAAACTAAAGTTTGAGAATAATGTAAAGACTAATAAGTAAAGTTGACACAGAGTCTGCTCTGCGAGGAGCATCAGTTTGTTTAAGTTTGTCACGATTTTCAAATACGTTTTTGTCTTAGGTTATTGCAAGAGACCACGATCTCTTGTTGTTAAACTTCATGGGTGCATGTACCGAGGCACGTAATAGATAGATGAGCTCAAGTTATTCAATAAAGATTCAGTTTGATTGATTTTGTTCCTGATTCTTGAAACAGCTAAATATAATCTCTTCCATGGGTTGACACCGACACAAGAAATTACCACGTTGACTGAGGATGCTTTTCTTTGGAAGGATCCCAATCAGGATCAATGATCCAGGGTCACTCGGATCATCGGTCATCCAAGAAACCAACGACTCCTTGTCCAGAATGGATTCGTCGTTTGATGCCCCATGATCCAAATCTAAAATATATATATACATATATCCTGATCCGGAACATCCCAAAGGAACGCACCCTGAGAAAGCACATAACAAACGCGTGCGATAATCTTTAGCCTTTCGATTTGACTTAGGGACAAGGTCTTTGCAATTTAGTTTCAAGTCAGTAGAACTCGATAATATCATCATCTACGCTATTCGGAATCTAGCCTATGCAGGTCAAAATCAAACCCTGCGCAGCTCCGTGTCAGCAAGTGTCCAGCCCCTTTAAGTCCAAAACGACCTATTTTATACGGACTATGCACATAACCAACGCGTGCGATAATCTTTAGCCTGTATATTTAACTTAAGGACAAGTTCTTTGCAATTTAGTTTCAAGTCCCTGCAGGTCGAAAATATCGTCTACGCTATTCGGAATCAAGCCTGTGTAGCTGAAAATCAAAGTCTGCGCAGCTCGGTGTCAGCTAGTGTCCAGCCCCTCCATGCGCAAATCGAACTACAGTAGAACCCCGGTAACTCGAACTCTGAAGGGAAACGAAAAACAGTTCGAGTTAGCGGGGGTTCGAGTTATCGGGGTCGATTGCATATCCAACTTGCCATGTTAATAATTGATATTTCACTGATTTTTCAGCACTTCAGTATACAGTACTGAGTGCAAATAAAACTTATCGCGTCAGAAATGCCTGTGTACCTTTCATAACGTTCTGCGTTGTAGTACTGTTTCATCCGGTATGGCTCACAAGATCGAGCGATGACTGTCAAATATGTGAACGGTCGGTTGCAATTGCACTAGTTAAAATCAAATTGCTGTGGTGCTAGTTTTGAGTGTTTTTACCGATTACATGACAACAAAAGATAATGAGATGACATCCGTGGTGAGTTACATGAACCAGAATTCGAGTTATCGGGGAAGACTTTGATCAAGGGAAACGAAACTGATTTAGTTCGAGTTAGCGGGGAATTCGAGTTATCCGAGTTCGAGTTAACCGAGTTAAAATGACTGAAAAGTGGGGTCAAATCCAAGGGAAATGAGACTTGGTTCGAGTTAGCGGGGGAGTTCGAGTTATCCGAGTTCGAGTTATCGGGGTTCTACTGTATATTTTACTGACTATGCCCATAACCAACCCGTGCGATAATCTCTAGTCTGTCGATTTAACTTAAGGACAAGGTTTTAACAAGTTAAGTTTCAAGTCCCTTGAACTTGAAAATAGAGCACCATCCATACAAGCCGTGACCTTTGCACCTTTGTTGCAAACGTTGTATATAACTGTAAAAATGGTTCGCTCGCGTCCAACACATAACTCCAGTGAGTGAATGCATTATTAAAGCCAAGTACTTCTCCAAACATATCAAGCTGACCGTTGCTCACATCTATGCACCCACAGTAGATGCAGATGAAGAAGTGAAGGATGAGCTCTACCTGAAAATACAGGGGGTACTGGATAACAGAAACATGCATGACATGCTTCTTGTCATTGGAGACATGAACGCCAAAGTCGGAGACTACAACCGAAATTATGAAAGGATAATGGGCAAGCTTGGGCTGGGAGAAAGGAACGATAATGGGGATAGAATGTGCAGATTATGTGACATGAACGAAATAGTCATGACAGGAACACCGTTTCCTCACAAGAACTTGCATAAGGAGACGTGGGTAGCTCCAGATCGAGCGACCAGAATCACATAGACCACATACTAGTCAATAAACGATTCAGGAATTCAGTGAAGGACACCAGAGTATACAGGTCTGAGGACATCGGAAGCGATCATTATCTTGTCTGCTCGAGAATCAAACTGAGACTGAGAAAGCAACCGAACAAGCCTCGGAGTGTTAGAGTTAAATACGATACAGTCAAGTTGAAGAATGAAGACAATCGGAGAACGTATACCATCACTTTGAGAAACAGATACCAAGTGCTAGAAGATGAAGGGCCAGAAGTGGCAGAAAATGAAGAGGCAGAGCGCAACTGTCAAATGATGGAGAAGGCGTACACAGAAGCAGCAGAAGCAGTCTTAGGTAGAGCAAGAAAGAGGAAACCATGGATCAGCGAAGAATCCTAGGACCTGGTGAAGAAGACCCTATATGGACTAACAAAGACAATCGGCAATGAAAGACATAGGCAGAACACAGCAGTACTGGATAAAAACGGAAACCTTGTAAATGGAGAAGAAGAAGTACAGCTAAGATGGACAGAACACGTCAAGGAAGTGCTTGACAGAAAAGAATAACAAGTTCAATAACTGTTGATAATGAGAGCGAATTCAATGAGATGATAGCAGATATTTCACTACTGAACCTACACAAAGCGAAGTTGAAGTAGCAATTCGACGGTTACAAAATGGGAAAGAACCAGAAATTGATTCCATCACGGCAGAACTAGTGAAAGCAGACATGGAGCTCTCAACAAATAGGATACATCAACTGTTGAAGAAGACATGGGAGCATGCGAAGATCCCAGTAAGCTAAAATAGAGGGTTTTTCATCAGAGTAGACCTCATGCAAAGAAAAGAAACTTTAAAGAATAGAAGAACTGGCGGAGCATAACCCTTCTGTCCATCGTAGGGAAAGTATTGGCGAGGATTCTCATAGACAGGATAAGATCCGGAATTGACTGTCTGCTGAGAAAGAAGGAGCAAGCAGCGGGAACAATCGAGCAAATTCTCATATTGTGGAATATCAGTGAAAAGGTTAACGAATGGCAAGCGACAGTTTATCTGAACTTCATAGATTTTGATTCTATTCACAGCGAAAGCCTATGGATCATCATGAAGAAGTATGGTATCCTAGGGAGGATCGTGAGAATGACAAAAACCTATGAAAATTTCCAGTGTGCGGTAGAAGATCAAGACAGAACGTGTGCTCGGTTTGATGTTAGAACTGGTGTCAAGCAAGGATGTAACATATCGGAACTTTTATTCCTGATCGTCATACATAGACTGGGTAATGAGAAGAACAGTTGGCCATGGAGAGAGAGAGAGCGGGATCAGCTGCAGGTTCACAACGAAACTTGATGACCTAAACTTGCTGATGATGTAGCACTGCTGTCCTCCACAGAGTGCAGATCCAGGAAAAAACAGCAAGATTACAGGAGGAGGCAGGAGGGGTGGGACCTAAGAACAATAGCCAAAGACCAAGGTAATGAGGATTAATGTAAAGAACCATGGCAAGATCAAAGGGGATGGACAAGACATCGAACACGTACACGAGTTCACATACTTGGGTGCAACGGTCTGCAAGGAAGTAGGAGGTATAAAAGATCTGAAGAACAGAATCTCGAAAGCCAGAATTGACTTTCGTCCGTCTTAAGAAGATCTGGAGGTCCATCTACATCTCAAAAAGACCAAAGGTGCGATTGGTCTTCGTATGGCCTTCACTCTTTTAAGTATTTTGCTTGCAAAACTTGGAACTCTCTACCTTAGAACTTTAGAATGGAACCTAATTTAACTGCTTTTAAACGTCTCATAAAAACAGTCTCCTTTCAGGTATAATTGCTGATTACTACACTAATTGTTTATTTTATATATTGCAGCCAAACATAATTGTTAGTAGTAGTACTTTTTGTTTTTATATTTGCAATGTTTATTTTCATCGAAGATATTATCTCTTTAGAAACCTCTAAATTCGAGTCAAAATAAAGTTATGTATGTATGCATGTCAATCACTGAGAAATCAAAACAAAGAGAACTATTACCTTCACGGCAAGAAACAAAAGCGTGTGTAATCTAACGCGATGTCTAGTCAGGAGAAGCGCAGATTTGACCTACAAAGTATTGTTACAACGGTTCCCTACTTGGTTATGAAAGTACCTTACTGTTACAAAAGATCCTTAGTCGCGTTACAAAAGTTCCCTTTTTATTACAATAGTTCCCTAGTTTCATAACAAAAGTTCCCTTTCTACCGGCTCTCACTCTCCATCTCTCCCTTGTTTGGGGAAGACCCTAGGCTATACGTCCCTTCCAATCTTCATTTCCCTTCCTCCCTAACCCTAAGCTCCTTGACATGCCCTGCTCTTTGGTCTCCGCGGTTAAATAACAATTTATTTCTTATTTTTTATTTATAACCCAGGTCTCTACTAGGAATTAATAAAACACGTACAATAACATGTAACATAATAAAGAGACTTTGTCTAATGACAAATAATGGCTACCTTATGCAATGTATGCGTGCCACACGGTGTCAAATTCTTTGTTTCACTCAAGTGACTTCATTTACCTGTTTTGCATTGCTTTACAAAGTACTGTGCTTCTCCAGCAGGAAATAACTGGATTAAGAAAAGAGTTTAATATGATAAAAGACCTTTCTAAAGTAGATGGCAATAACCTATCTAACATTTTCTTGTCAGCTGGTAAAATTATGGATAATAATGCAGACAGTAATCCAAGTATATAACACATAAATACTCCACCTATAAAAATACCGGTTGTTTTCCAAACTTTCTTTTCTTCAAGAAACTTTGCAGTGATCTCTCGGAAAGGTTGGGCAGATTTAATCTGAATCAAGTGACGACGACAAACAAAATAAACCGATCCATGACAGTAAATAATCACTAATAAACTAATGGCTGACAAGGTTTCAAATAACCTCGTAGATTCTACTAGTTCAGGTGAAACCCTATTAATGACGTTAAATGTTACTGCAATAAGCCAGCTACATGCCACTGCTACTGTTATGCGGAATTTGGTCACGATCGTGTGATATCGCAACGAACATTTCATCGCTACAAAACGATCTGCAGTAATAAGAACCAAATGAAAAACTGATGCAAGGCAAACGACGACAATGACATTTGGTGTTATGCTATATAATGTACCATACACGGAAAGCAATCCACCTGCCAAGCGAGAAATCTCTGTTGCGATGAACGCTGGTTGGGAAGTCAATCCCATCGCCAAATCTGTTCCTGCCAAACTGGCCAGCAAAATGTTACTCCTAGTTTGAAGCCTTCGTTTGGTCTTGATCGCCATAATAAGAAGTGCGTTCAGAAGGATAACCAGAGGGCATGCTATCAAAAGTATGACGATGGCCAGTACTTTAATCAAGTCGCCTATAAGGGCATAGTCCACATCAGGGGCAGTAGAATTTGAAACAGAGATGTTCCGAAGAGCAGTCAGTGGCATTCATTTCAGTGCTCCCTTCTCCGGAATGTAGGGACGTGAGTTGACTAGTATGATTATCGCTTGTGGACATGCGCTGGTTGCTGGTTGATCCTGATTTGATATCTGGCTTGGCAATACTGTGCGATGGAGGTTATCCACGGGAACGCTGTTCAGTCTCTTACCTATGGTGACGAACAACAGTGATAAGCAAACCCGTCGGCCCATACGCTTTAGTTGTCTTAAGATGAAAATCAGTTTCTAATCTTGATTTTATTTTAGGTATATTGTCACTGCAGCGATTACAAAACGGACAAACAGGGATCCACACAATCTTACATCTATTAACAAAAACTTCAAGGCGCTTTCGCCACCTGACAGAATTCTCACCGGAGCTTATGAAATCCGGGATTTGATCTTTACAAATATGAACAATTTAATCAGAACTCAGGACGTTTTGTACTTGTATGATGAGAGCTGGACACCTGATGTCATTTCTGTTAATACTGCCACCTTAAGCACTTCTGATTGGTTGGAGGTAGATCAATTTATCCCAAATTGTATGGATAGCTGAAAAATTAAATTTAAGTTGTATCGGCCGCATTTGAGCAATGGACTTACTTCTTGGTATGAAAGCGAACATATCTATGATAAAACTTCCAGGTTTGTCATTTAAGACAAACAAGACGCTACTTATGGGAAGCAGCAGTAAACAAAAAACACGAAGAAAACAACTGAAACTTGGCTTCGCTTACACTTCAGCTGATCTGATATAAGCTTGTATTTACGGTTGCCGTATTATTTAAGGGAAATCGGTCTTCCTTTGGACGGATTAATTGTATATATGCATTGATACAGTCCGATCTGTTCACGCATACAATTAATTTCTAAATGTTTCTCAAACAGACCGGTTTCCTTTACTAATTCCTTGGCAACCTGTCCAAATTTGACACCCGTTATTAGCTTTGCAATACAGTGAAACCTCTATTAAGCGGACCCCCAAATAATTTTCGCGAAAAGCGAAACGCTATGTTTCAAAATTGAATCAGGATTAAACAAACGAACAAGCAAGCATATGGTTCGATATTGAATGAATTTTTTCTGTCCTTAGACATCGCATATAACTTTCTTTCATTCCTAATAACCAAATTCTATCACACTCAGCGGTGTTAAAAACATCGATTTTTGCCCTCTCGTCCGATGCGCTGGAGCAAGGCCAAAGTAGTACTAAAAAAAACATTTTTTTTCACGACAATCTAATTCATGTGGATGTTAAGTTTAAATGGTATCTGGGGGGTCTCGTTTGACTCTGTAAAGCTAATAAGGGATAACTGTACTAAGGGAATTATTCTATACTTCAGCGTGAATTCAATTACGTTCATTCATCGATGAGAGGAATGGCATTTTAACTACAGTGCAAACCTTATTGAAACAGAAAGCATCCGTTCAGTAAGGAAACAATTCCTGAAAGTAATTTTACAGAGGAATTAATTTAAGTCCCTCGACAGATCACAAGTTTTGCTAATAACTAACGAATCACCCTACCAATAACGCCACGATACTGCGAAAGTGTTTTAATTCTAGTCAGGGATATCTGGTTGCCTTCTGTTCTGACAATTTCTGATAGTTATTTCTATCATTTTCAGTGTCAAATATTATTGAACTTGAACGATGTATCCATATATGATGTGCAATGAACGACTACAACATACTGAAGTAAAACCAATTTTATACATACTTCACAGAAACAATGTTGCCGAACTCTGTTGTAAGCTCTGCAAAATTGGAAAGTTCTACTGCTTTAAAAGCTTTGATTTACATAGATTACATTTTAGATAATGTTATGGCTGTTAAATGTACAATTGAATCATTTGCATATTACATTATAACAACTTAATTAAAACCTGCTAAATCAATAACATAAAAATGCTCCACTTTGCCGACTGTTGCCAGTCACCACTCACACTCCCTTCCTTCTCTTGTCTTGATCGCTTTTGCTTGTTCGTTTGTTAAATTCTGATACAATTTTGAAACATACAGTGTTTTGGTTTTCGCGAAAATTCTTTCATATATTGCAAAACAAATAACGGGCGTCAAATTTGTACAGGTTGCCAAGGAATAAGTAAAATATGCGTGAACAGATGGGACGTTTTAATAATTTCCACCGGAGTGCCTGGAAATCGGTCTGTTTGAGAAATAATTAGAAACCGGACTTTTCAGTAATTGCCACGAGTGGAAATTAGAAAAAGGCCGATCTGTTCACGCATACAATTGATCTGTCAAAGCATACAATTAAAGCACCCAAAAAAGACCGATTTCCTTTTAATAATACGGCAACCGTAAATACAAGTGTAAGTCAGAGAAACAGAGGCGAGTTTCGGTTACTTTCGTGTTTTTGTTTACTGCTGCTACTCGCGAAAAGCTTATCCTTGGGCTGAAACGGCAAACCTGAAAGTTTTATCTGAGACATGTTCGCTTTCATTACCAAGAAGCGAGTCTTTTGCTCAAATGCGGCAGATACAACTAAAATTCAATTCATTCTGCTTTCGATACAATTTGGGATAAACTGATCTCCCTCCAACCAATCAGAAGCGAGTATTTACGGTAGCAGTATTAACAGAAATAACATCAGGTGTGCAGCTGTCATCACACAACTACATTAGTGTAATTCTGTGTTTTAGTAGCGTAACAACGTCCTGAGTTCTGAGTAAATTGTTAATATTTCTAAAGATCAAACCTGACCTTTATGAGCTCCGGTGAGATTTCTCTCGGTGGTGAAAGCTCCTTTAATTTTTTGTTTATAAATTTTAAATTGTATGGGTGCCTGTTTGTCCGGTTTTTAATCACTACATTGACATTACACCTAAATTGAAATCAGGATTATGAAAAGTTTTTCATTTCATGACTACAAAGGCATATGGGCCGATGGGTTTGCTTATCACTGTTGTTCGTCCCCATAGCGTTCCCGTGCATAACCTCCATTGCGCAGTATTGCCAAGCCAGAGTCAATTCAGGATCAACCAGCAACCAGCGCATGTCCACAAGCAGTAATCATATTAGTCAACTCACGTCCCCACATTCCGGAGAAGGGAGCACTGAAATGAATGCCAACGACTGCTCTTCGGAACATCTCTGTTTCAATTCCACTGCCCCTGATGTGGACTATGCCCTTATAGGCGACTTGATTAAAGTACTGGCCATCGTCACACTTTTGATAGCATGTCCCCTGGTTATCCTTCTGAACGCACTCGTTATTATGGCGATCAAGACCAAACGAAGGCTTCAAACTAGGGGTAACATTTTGCTGGCCAGTTTGGCAGGAACAGATTTGGCGATGGGACTGACTTCTCAGCCAGCGTTCATGGCAGTGGAGATTTTCCGGCTGGCAGGTGGATCGCTTTCGGTGTATGGTACTTTATTTATCGTGGTGCAAAGTGCCATGATCGTCCTTTGTCTTGCATCGCTTTTTCATTTGGTTCTTATCAGTGCAGATCGTTTTGTGGCGATGAAATATTCGTTGCGATATCACACGATCGTGACCAAATTCCGCGTAACACTAGCAGTGGCATGTAGCTGGCTTATTGCAGTTATATTTACCGTCATTAATAAGGTTTCACCAGAACTAGTAGAATCTACGAGGTTATTTGAAACCTTGTCAGCCATTAGTTTGTTAGTGATTATTTACTGCCATTTATCGGTTTATTTTGTTTGTCGTCGTCATTTGATTCAGATTAAATCTGCCCAACCTTCCCAAGAGGTCACTGCAAACTTTTTTGAAGAAAAGAAAGCTTGGAAAACAACCGGTATTGTTTTAGGTGGAGTATTTATGTGTTATATGCTTGGATTTCTTTCTGCATTATTATCTATTATTTTACCAGCTAACAAGAAAATGTTAGAGAGGTTATTGCCATCTATTTTACATAGGTCCTTTATCATGTTAAACTCTTTTCTTAATCCAGTTATTTACTGCTGGAGAAGCACAGTAATTCGTAAAGCAATGCTGCAACTTTTAAAGAAATCAAGGTAACTGATACCACTTGAGTGAAATAAAGAACTTGACACCGTGTGGCACTCGTACATTGCTTAAGGTAGACATTTGTAGACAAATTCTCCTTATTATATTACGTGTTAATGTACTTGTTTTATTGATTCCTTGTTGAGCCTGGGTTACACATAAAAAGAAGAAATAAATTGGGTGATATTCACAGAGAACATTTCCTGAGAACAGGGCATGTCAGGGAGAGTGTAGCTTTAGGCGACAGAGTGTAGCAAAGAATAGAGGTGGGGGGGGGNTTCCTCAACAGAAACACTCTATTGTTTAAATAGAAACACGGAACATGTTTTCTATTTCTTAACAGTAAATAACATCCTACTTGTTACTCACCGAAAAATCATTTGTGTCCTTCTTTTTGACTGAGGTCTTCCCCAAACAAGAGAGAGAGATAGTTTGTAGCTGAACTATTCGTCCACTGTTTCCACGGGACATGGAATTGGAATTTAGAAGTGTTGGGTTTTGTGGAGGGTGTGAGACTTGTGAACCCGGAAGAGAACCCTCACAGCAAGAACGAGAATGAAAAAGAAAGTCAACAAATATAACGCCAGAAACATTGCTTGCTGTTGGTGTGGTAGCTTGCGTGCCTTTAGGACCACCTGGAGCTGTGCCAGCTATGCCAGCGGGGGCTTTCATACCTCCGGCAGGTTCAACCATGCTGGACAGGTCTAGGGTAAGGTGCGAGACGAACTTAGACATCCTGGGCCTCCAGGTTGAGGGTTGGGTGTAGGGCTGACAACCGCAGCCGTAAGAAACTAAATTGTACAGAAATTTACTCCAGAAACCAAAGCTGTGGCAGCAGAACAACGAAATCCACGCAATTGAACTAATGACGGGTGTTGGCCATACTCATCTGGGAACCGGAATCGCGAGAGCCGAGGTTCAGTCACCAACGGAAAAGGTTCAATGTTAGAGTTGGCCTGTGGAATGTACGCACCATGCATACGATGCATCAAACCTGCAAGCTGGCGTAAGTCGCAAAGGAGATAGACAACTGCAGAATGGACATCCTCGGGATAAGTGAAGCAAGATGGAGAGGATCAGGAATAGTGAAGGAAAGATTTAGACACACGGTGATACACTCTGGGCGATAGGACAACCAACACGCAGAGGACGGGGCGATCATCACGTCAGACAAAACAGCGAAGGCATTGATGGAGCAGAAGCAACTGTGGAAAAGACTTATCATGGCTAGATTCAACCCCAAGTGCACCAAGCTCACTTTCACCACGTTCTACGCACCCAAAGAAGATGCTGAGGAAGCCAAGAAAGATGTCTCGTACGACCATCCACAGCAAGTCATTCCAGAGGTATCATCGCATATGCTGTGTGTGATTGGATAATGATTTCATCGCCCGCGTTGGGAAGGACAATGAAGGCCGTAACAAGATCAACGGACACAGACTCTGCGACTTGTGCGAGGAGAATACCTTGGCCTTTGGAGGAACTCTTATTCTGGTAATGGCTCTATGCGCCGAAGAGCGAGACGAGGATTTTGTGAGTGAGTGAGTAAGGGTCAAATGAATTTTGGTTGGAATTTAACATACGCAGGGATATATTTCCCCAGACGAGATTTGTGTTTTTGTTCTTTGTGATGAAGAGATTGTTTCAGAGAAGATTCTTGGTCATTACAATCATGTGATCAGACGTAACTCATCTGAAAACGTGATTTTCAATAAAAGATCTTATGGGTTGTGAGCGCCACATCGCCACATCACCATAGCGCTTGAGTCTTGCGCTACGATTTTGAAATCTACTCGTAATCTTCTGGGCGCTTCTTCTTCTGGAAGTGATTGGTTGAGAGGGAATGAAAACCTGCCAAAGTGTGCTCATGATCATCGTCGCTATCCTTGTCCCATGGTATCCAATTGGAGTAGCCGCGTACGAGCTGAGCAGATCGGGAGGAAAAAAATACACACATCTGATGTTGATCCTCGCTTCCCCCTTCTACCTCTGGCTTCTTCGTATGACTCTGGAACCACTAGTGGCTAGCATATCATACGTCGGATGGACAATAGTGTTTGGGTTTTGCACCTATGGAACTGGGGTCCGATATGCATTACGAGAGAAATTTGCAATCAATTGGTACATACATATATATACCTCATACATAGTATATTTAAAAGCAGGTAGGCAAGACAAAAGTCCTGATGTGAACCTGCACTAACTAAGCTAATGACCTTGATTTACAATGAATGAACTATGGATAAAAATATAGAAATTTACATCAATAGTGAAATGTCTCAAAATAAGTCCAATAAATAAAAGGAACGCTACAGTGTTACACCTGGGATCAAAACATAGTGCTTAAGACAAGCAAGTGAAGGCAGGTTCCATAGTGCCATCACTATCCTGCGTGAATCACGTCACAATATTACACATTCTATCACGTGTAACGTAACAAAAGGTCTTGTTTAATCCAGCAGCTCTTTCAGCTCTCTGGTGAATTGAAGAACTTCGATCACAGTTGGAAATCCCAGGTCTGTTTTGATAGAGCTGTAAAAGAATTCTGGGCTCTAGAAAAAAGAATAAGAAATAAGCAAATTCGTTTTCTCCAAAAATTTCTTTTAACCGACTCGCCGCCCCGTCACTCCGTCTACTACCTCCCACTTAAACCTCTTTGACTTAAATTTTTTTAATTGCCACTAAACCAGGTCACAAGATTTGGTTCATTTAGCATTTGTATGCAAGAAGACAACCTATTCTAGCAATGCACATAGAGCGTTACAACCGTTACGGAGGGCTAAAATTGACTAACCTCTTTTCGTAGTTCGTTGAGCATGTGCAACAAAGGTCCGTCTAGCTTTCCTCGAACAATGTTGTCACCTCTTAGAAAAAGAGATATGATAAGAATGAGCTTTTCCAATACAGTTTACTCCCATAATTTGCCAATTTTTTTTTCAGCTTCTAACAAGCTGGGTGGTAAGGGAATAGCATATGATAGTGCTTGTTTACTCAAGTCTGTGGTAAAGTTTTACGTTTGTCACTCACACTGCAAATCCAATATCCTTCAGCCATTTTGCCACGTCTTCTTTCTTCCATTGCAAAACCTTTTCGTTTGTAGCCGCCTGGGGTGGAGCAGTCCCTAATGATTGAGCTTGAGAAGCAGCTGGATGAAAATTACAAATCACATATAACGTAGGTGTACAAACCACTATAAACAAATTACATATTGCCACAAACAAAAGGATACTGAAATAGAAAAGAGAGTGATACATATGGGATGCATACCGACTCTTGCCTTTGATATTTCTTTCATCAGTTGTTGGATTCCAATGCTTGGATCTTTTCTGAAGTCCATCCACAGTTTAGAGCCCAGAATAATCCCCAACCAGCCGTCAGGACGGTAACTGGGTTCCATCATCAGTGGAATCACGCGTTTCCTTCTCTGATAAGCGTATTCGGCCTCTACACATTAATAAACGTGGCAAAAATCGAAAAACAAAAAAAAACAACAGTAAAACCTCGTAAAGCGACCGTCTGTAGTAACTTTGTACAGTAATTTAGCCATCTACGTGAAAATCATGTTCTTCAAGGAAGACAGCTACCTGAGCTGAACATCTCTCTACCACGGTCATCTCTATACGGCAGACTAACTCCTCTCTAAGCTGTGAACACCTCTCTCTTAGCTGAATATACCTCTTTAGGCTGAGCTCTTTGCTAGCCAGTGACCTCTAAAATGGAACTTTCTCCACAGTGGACACTCCTAGCTACCTCTAAGATGAAAATTTCTCTAGGGTGGACACCACTAACGTAGACGCAGCTCTTTACTGTAGGACACTTTCTAAGCTTAGGCAGATACCTCGTTAACATGGAACCCCTTTGTAGCGAACACACCTCTAAAAGAGACTCTCTAAGGTGAAAAACTCTCAACAGTGGACAAAACCTCTCTAAGATGAACAACTCTCAAAGACAGGCATTTCTTCTAAATGAAAATCTCCTTACAGTGGACACACTAAGATGGAAATCTCTCTTAGTTTCTTCTTCATGGAAGTCAATCAGCACCGTTTCGTGCTCCAGAGAGATTTCTCTGTACAGTGGAACCCCGTTAATACGGACACCAAGGGAACATGCCAAAATGTCCGTATTAACGGGGTGTCCGTATTAACCGGGGTCCTCGGAAAAAAGTCAGGGACACGTGTTTTATCGCTACAAACACTAAGGCCGACACTTGTACAGCAACAAAACGTTTTAATTGTACTGTAAATTACAAATCATTAACTGTATCACTCTCGGTGAAATTTTGCCTTTGCAACCA